TTTCCAAGTAAATGAATTTTTTTTCTTGTTACAAATTGTACGTATACTTTATAAGTGAATAAATGAATATAAATTGCTTAAATTATTTCTTAAGAGATGGTGACTACTTTAACTTATTAAACTTTTTAAAATTAAAACTATAACTATGGTTATTTTATGCTGTATGAACTTTATTAAACATTTTTTTATACTTATATTATAGCTAGTAGAATAAAATATAAGTTTAAAACAGATTTTTCTTGTAAATTAATAATAAATACAAGATATTTTTATATTATTATATAACATTGTATATATTAAAATGTTGTATGTAAATATGTAAAGGAATGAATAAAAAAAAGTGGTAATGGTGAAAAAGTTTTATTGTTCTTGAATTTTCTTAGAAGAAATTGAAAAAAAAAGAGAAACTTTATAACATAATTTAATACTTAAACATTTTTATCTAATTAAATTAACATCGAAATTAAATTATAATTTACTTTTAAACAATATAAGTTATTTCGAAAATAAGATTCTAAAAATAAATAAACACAAAAAATTAATGAAACTAACTTAAAAGTTAAGATTTTGTAGTGGTCTTGTTTTAATTAAAAATAATTTTAGTAGCGATTCTTTTAAAAAACTTTATGTATAAGAATTTGTTAAGAGCAATGACCCTTTTTCAAAGACTGAAATAAACTGAAGAAGAAAAGAGGAGTAAAAAGTTCAGTAAATTGAAATTAGTAGAGGGACGGATTCTAGAGAATCCAAATTATATGAATATTAAATAGATATAACTAATTAAAAATATGTTTATTAAGGAATCAATTTCATATTTTCAATTGATCCATCGACCATCGGGAGCGGTTTCCTTTGAAGTATGTAAAATATTTTATTTATATTATATATCCGGAATTGATTGGAGCTCTAAAAAACAATATTGAATGTATAGTTTCGTATAATATTTCAGCCAAAATGTTCACAGAATAAAATTACTCACTATTGGACACTTGGAATTAATCACCTAAAAATATATATTAAAAATTAATATGATGCAATTTTAAAATTTTTTCGAATTTAACTATAAATCTGTTGCCATCAAAATTACCATATTGAAATTAAATTAATATTTTGAATTTCTAAAAGTAAAAAATTAAGAGTGGTTAATTTTTATACATAATGTTCTATAAATAATTTAGCATATTACATATACATATACAAACAAATAGTTACATTTCATATATTTACATTTCTATTTTTAACATACACACTAATTCGAATTTTCAAAATTCCACTCAAATTAAATTTTTTTCAAAAGCTTTTTTGAATAAATTTAATAATGAAATTAAAATTTTATAAAACCTTAAATTCTAAAATTTAAAAGATAATTTAGAGTCTCATATTAGTACAAAATTTTATCTAATATCCGTTTTTAATTTATAAACAATAAATGATTGCCCAAATCATCACAAAGATAAACAATTATTCAATTCATTTTATTAAAACAATATTAATAAAATAATTCAATAAACTTATATTTCCGAAAATTTCAACGGAACAAGTAATAAAATTTAGATTTCTAATAAAATGTTATAATATTGAATTAAGCCAAAATTATTAAATTTATAAGAAATCAATTTGACATCGTAAAACAAATTATGGGGAAATACTCTTAATAGTTACATATAAATTTTACAGATAAAAAAATTTTGCAAAAAGAAACTTAAAGCCGAACAAGTTTTTAAAGACTTTTCCCTTTTTTTTAATTAAGCTTTTCAGTGTATAATTTTGAAGCCTTTGAAAAATTTTTCTAATTGCTTTTAAGTTTAATCGAAATCACTTTATTTCAAAACTTCGCTTTTTTTAGACCCTGGGACGAATCTAATAAATGATTTATATACATATGTAATTATTTTACAATAAATTTCATATATAATTTCATACGTACTTATAACAATTAACCTTTTCTTAAATCCAATCCCTTTTCCTTCCTTTAAATTATAGCAACAATAACATGTTATATTGGGACTATAAAAAAAAAATATACACGATTTTATACCTTAAGGGCAGGACTTAATTTATCAAAAAATTTGTTGACACTGTTGAATCTTACGCAATAAAAATTTTTAATAGAAAATTTTCCAACTTTTCTTTTAACTCATTAAAGCAAAAAAACTCTCTTCTTCCTTTTTTTTGCAAACGAGACAAGTAAAATTTGTAGAACAGGAACATAAAAAAAAAGATGGTTGTATTTGATTAGGGTTATGAGAACTTGGAAAACTTGCAATTTTGTTTTATGAACGAATGGGTATAGAATTTTACAAAATAGAATAGAAAATTTTTTATTATTTTTTAAATGGAAGCGAGAGAATTAAAACGAGAATGTATAAAAAAAAAACTTTTCCGACTTGAATTGCCTTAATTTTTATATAAAAAAAAATCAACATTAAAAAATTATTTACTGCTTTTAAAAAGTTTTCACAAGAAATTATTTTACAAGCACGGTTCTTTATTTTGTTTTTTAATTTGTTGATTTTATCACATGTACATTCTATTATGGAAAATGTATGTTAGGACCGAAAATTACTTATGTGCATTCCCGAATGTTTTTCTTCTTACAAAAAAAAAAATATTTTTTATTGCTCATCTTGTCAAGGGAGATTACACGTTTATCTTCCTTTTTTTTGTTTTTTTCTCTTCCATCAACTGAAGAATTAATTTTAAATTTTGTTAGAACACAAAATTTTGCTTGAAGTATATTTTAAACATTTTAAGGTCTCTATAAAATTTATATATTTTCACATACATGTGTAGATATAATATTTAGTTCGATTGAAAGTTATTTTTAAAAAGTAGGAGAAAAGAATTAGATGTCTTTTCTAGAATTTTTCATAAACTATAGGTGAATTTGGAAAATTTATAAAAATTTTTATGAAAAATTTTCAATCATGTATATAATAATATATCAATATCCATGTATATAATATAAAGTTCGGAGATTGACTAAAAACGGTTTAAATAATGATTTTTTATACTATAACAATAGGAATTGGATTCAACCTAGGAACTTCTTTTTAGTTAATTTGATTTTATTCGGCAACTTAAGTTACTATACTATAAATACAATGCATTCCTACACTTTAACATACTCCTTTTCTTTAATATAAAAACGAAAAGTTTGTGTTGCAAGAGCTTGTTTCAAAAAAATTTAATCAACTGCAAAAACTTCTAGCCCGATCACAAAAATTTCATAGAAAAAACCAAAACTATAAAATGAAGAACAATATTTGTCGGTCTACTCAAATGATTATCATAATAATTTTCATTTTTTTTTTAATGAACTCTCACTGATATGAAAAATAAAGTTCTTAACTTTCTAATTTTATCAGTAATTATCTATTTATCTAAATATTGTTTCCTCTATAGTGAAACTAATTCAAATAACTTGTTATACTTTTTATGTTATATCATTCTATATTAACATTAACATGTTAGTTGGATTTACTACACTTAAAACTCATTTTCATTACGTCAAAATAAAAAGAACTTTAGACTTTTTTTTAAACCAGGCATTTCAGATAAAAAATATCAACTTGTGTATAACAAATAAATTTCGTTTTCATGAATAGTTCAATTTTTTTTTTTGTAATCAAGTGCAAAGTTTTTCGAACAAGTTCTAATGAAATAATTATTTCTCTAGATTAAAATTTTTACATACATAATCCTTTCCACTTATAGCTCCTTAAAATCATTGTGAACACAAATTTTCGACAATTTACTGCATACAAGCCATATGTAATTAGAAAATTCAGGAATCATCTTGCGGAATCGTAGAAAAATGTGATAATTTCAAACAAACTTGAAAAGTAACCGTTATCTTAAACTGGTTTTTCGCTAGTTAACTGTGCAAATTTCCAAAAATTTTCAATTTTTCTTAATTTACTTTCTTGAAACTAAAACTTTATTGACATGGTACAAATGCAAAAATGTAACAGCAAATCATCCTCCCTTCGAAAACTAAGCTTTTATATTTTATTTGTGTTAATTGTGTTAAAATCGAATTGAATGTTTTCATTATTAAAACTTCTTCTTGCTTTAAATTTCCTCCTCAGCATATTATGCAATATGATTTTGATATTTCCATTGAACTTTTATTTTAATTTACATCATTTATTCCTAGAATTATATGTATGTAAATATGTATTAGTTTTTAGCTTAAATATTTAAAAAAAAGGTACATACTATCAAAAGAAAAAAGACTTTGGCTTCATTCATTAAATTTTTTCAATAATGTGCGATTACATTTAAATGTGACTTTTTAGTCAGAAATCAGCGGAAAATTTCATAATCGAAAGAAGTAAACAATATGAAAAACATTTTTATGCGATGATTAAATCTGTCTACTCTAGTTTACTCTACAAGTATTTTAAAGTTTTACAACACAAATAAAGTAAAAACTAAAGCTCGTCAAAAAGAAAATTTCCATTTCAAAATAGCTGATTCTTCAGAATATTAATTAATCTATTTCAAATTTTTGCTATTTAAGAACAACAAAATCAGTTCGAGAAAGTGTCACAATAATAAGATCATTGCCAATTAATAATTTTTACAGTTTTTAATTTCTTTTTCACTTCTCACTTTCATTTACGCATCAAAGAAATAGTTTTTGTAAAACATCTTCGTATGAACCGTGATTTGTGAACTTCATTTCTGTTAGCTTTGTATTGCTAATTCTATTATTTTCTAGTAATCTTAAAACCCATAAAACTATCATCACTTAACACTTTTCGGTATCCAATATCTTTATTATTCAATATTTTTTTTGAAAAAGCTTTCGCATATAATAAACTCCAAATTCAATACCAATTTTAAATATTCTTAAAAGCAATTAACACATTTGAAAAACTTTTAATCTTTACTTTGCAAGCAAAAATTAATGCTAAAAAACAGGAAAAGCTTTTAAGCAACATTACTTTATATTCCATTGAATGGAAAGCAAAATTGATTAGTTCTCAATTTCACTTCAAACTGTTCGGTCTACACTCTCTGCTCATAATATATTAAAATATTATTTTGAGAACAGCAAAACAAAATAACGCAAATAATTATGTTATTTTATATTGTAATTTCATGTTTACTATTAACTTGGATTAATCCAAAGGTAAACACAAAATAAAAAAAACTTGTTTTAAATTAATTTTAATTGTAATTTCAAATCAAATAATTATTCTTGTTCTTTTAAATTTTTTTTTTAGGTGAATGGTGAATCCGATTATTTACCAACACCAGAAGAATTACAAAAATTTCAAAATAAAGATGGATTACCATTATTTTTGGATATTTTGAGACAACATCAACGTGATGCTGATCAAACATTACAATCGTTTACTGATGTTTTAAAACGTGATTCTGATTGGATCTTGAGAGGTTCTAATAATGAACCAATAAAAAGTGAAGCATGTACTAAAGCTGTTGATGGTGAACGTCGTAAATTCGGTATCTTTATTAATGACCATCTAAACGATTTTGAAAAATGTGTTGATGCATTTGTTGAATCATACGAAAAAGAAATTTTTACTGCTGATATAAATAAAATTTCAGCAGAAGCCGCTAAATGTATATCATTGACAAGAATGAATGTCTTCTGGAATCAATATAGGACATTACTCGAAAATGCAAAATCGATTTGCCTATAATATAAGGAATTTTAAAAGTGAATTTTTCTTTTTGATTTTGAACAAATATTTAAAAATATTTAAAATGTAATTAAGTGTATGTAAATATAAAACATTTTATGACCTTTTTATAAGACAGAAACTGAAAGCATAGCATTTAAAAATATGTGCATAACTACTGTACTACATAACATTAAAAATAAAATATTTTTTTATTATTATAAAAACTAATATGAAACAAGTGTTTACTGTAATATTAACTACAAGCTCTTAAACTGCAAATTTTAATAAGCATATAATTGTAACAAAATTTAATAAACGAGTATTATTTAGAGTAACTTACGCAGTGTTTTAGCTATATCAATTCGCAATTGAAAACACTTTAAATTACTACATTTTAAAGCCTAAATAATAACTATAAATTTTTTAAATGTTGTATTTACAAGCTTCAGTTTTGCTACAAAAATTAATGTCTAATAACATACTATGTAAATACGGCAGTGTTTTTGGAAACTAAACTCTTAACTTATTAATAAATGTCCAGCTCAATTTGAAAACTAAGAATCTTACCAAAAATTTGAGATCCCAATATATTTTTGCTGAAAATATTTAACCGTCCAGTTTATGATGAACTCATAGATCCGCATACATTTTTTTATACATATTAGAAATTCTTATAGTTCAATACATTTTTATACCTGAAGGATATGATTCAAATTTGATTTAAATATGGAAGTTTAATTTAATACGTATACATCATATAATGTCGTTGTGTTATTAGTTAGTTGTCGTTGTGTTTTAAAGAATGAATCAATGGCCCATATTAAATATATTTACTTCAACCAAATTTTACTCAATTCGTTCTGTAAATTTATTTTACATAACTTGAGTAGCAAATCCAAATTAAGTTTGAAATGCAGGCTTAAAAGTTCTGTAATCTTATTTAGCATTTTAATCCTAGTTTCCAGACAATAATTAAGAAACTTTCAGCATAAAGATATTTGTTTGCAAAATATGTATATATTTTTTAATATATCACTTTTTCCGAAATTTCTTTATATATGTATCAAACTTCCTGCAAATGAAATAGTAAATTAAAATGAATATGTTTACAAGAAGCTTAATAATATAATTAATTCAAAAATCGCAAGTTTGCTTTGCTAATTCAAAATTACCAGAAACTGATACATTTATTTTGTTAGAATTTGTATTAAAAAAAACTTATTTTCATACAGACTGTAGAATGTGTATGCCATTCCAGTTTTACCTTTCTTTTACCTACATTTATTTTGCAATATTTTACTTTTAATCATTTTGTACATTAAGTGCACACATGCGTTTCCAATAATCAGTTTTTTTATTTTTTCTTTATTTTTAAATGGATCTGAAAAAGTGATTTGATATTTTTTAAATTTCGTTTTAAAATGATGACATAAAACTCAAGTTCAAAGCAAAACAAAATACAAAAAGTGGAAGAAAAAACAGAAAACAAGTCTGAAATGATGCACCAGATTTTAATTTTATTTATACTTATTTTTTCTACCTATATACAAGCTTGTTAAATACAAATTTATAAATGATCGTTTTATGCCGTATATACGAGTACCAGAATTTCATTTTTATCAATTCTTTTTTGTTAGTAAACAGGTGAATAAGATGACCAATTTTATATGCGATCTTGTGTTTATTTGTACTTTTCAATAAGAGTAAACAAAATATAGAAGAAAAACAATTTCATTGATTTTATTCACATTACGTTTCTGTACTGATTCACATGTATGAATTAGAGATAATGAACAGTTTTTACAAAACTTCAATAGAATGTTTGGTTTTTTTTATTTTCGGAAATGAAGCTTTTGAAATACAAAGTATCATAAGGTTATCTCGATGCTAGTTATTCAAATTTTTCATTAAAATTATACAATTATTTGTTTTACTTTCACAATTCGGAAATATTAGGTTGTATTTTATATATTTTATTTATTATTTAAATAATGCTACATGTTCATTAATTCAATTACTACATATGAATAATGTATTTATATTTTATTTTATGTTGAAGCAGTTGGATTAGGAAAAAATACTTACTACATAAATATAAGAAATTGTTAAGATAAAGATTTTAAAATCATAATTCTCGTTTACTCTTTTTCAGTTCAAATTAAATATTGTTAGAGAAATTGAGCGTCCATCTATCTACTTACATATTTTAAAATTTGATTTCTACGAAACTTAAAGTAAATGATCTTATATGTTGCATTAACGAAGACAAATTATATAGATAAGTAAAGATATCATCCAAAAATACTTAAGCTACTATAACTTTAAAATTTTTTAGATTTCGAATTACATAAATAAATTTATGATACAAATGATATGAAATATTGGAATTTTAATTAAAGTTTTTCTGTTTAATCATCCATATTGACTTATTCATTATTTAAAAATAATTCTTATTCTATTTATAGAAAAGCTCAATAGTATTTTTGTAAGGATTGAAATATAATGGTTATTTTGTTAAATAACTAGTTTTTTTTTAAATTGGAGCTGTTGCTGTTGTTCTACTGAAAATATGTATATACAAATATGCTGCAGTTTCTTTAAACGATCTTCCTATTAGTATTCAAATCACAAAACTATTTGCACTTAATATATCATTACATGTCATTCATACCCAATCATGTAGTTAATTTAAACAGTGTAGAATGGAAAGAAATTTCATTAGTATTCCTAAGTTAATGGATAAACAATTATCAGATGTACGAGTGTAACAATGTATTTCATGTCTAAATACATTCCGAATTAAAGATAATTAATAAAGTGTCTTAAACGTTTAAATACTGATATACATACTTATTGTGTGATACCTTTTTAATCAAGTTTTTCCACTTCTAATGATGACACAGCTCATAAAGACTCACAATTTACAATCTATAGAAATATGATTTTTTTCATATTCTATTTATAATTTACATCCAATCGGACAAATTCATCTAAAAAGAAAATTTAAAATTTTGGAATTGGTATACATAATGCTACAATAGGTAGATATCTACATATTGTATACATACATGTCACATCATAATTAAATGCATACTATTTATTACCTAAATATCTCCAGTAATACTTGTACCATTAAATACATATGTACTTTCATTAAGCGTTCCAATCATATTTAAATTACATCTTACATTGTTGTAACAAAATTATATTGGCGCAATTATCTGATATGTGATTATTTTTGATTAATTTCAGTAGCTTAGAACATCAAAATTAATTTAACGTACAGTTCATTTTGAATAAGCGTTGTAAAACTTCGAATTTTATTGGTTGAAATACACAAATTTTATAATTTTTATAATATTATAATTTGTTTTCAATTATTAGAATCTTAAAACTTCAAGGATGTTTTGATTTAAATTTAAAAAATAAAATTATAATTTATTTTAAATACAATACGATAATAACCAAACAACGTTTTTTTGCAAACTTTCTTCAACGTTTGAGGCGTTTCTTATTAAATAGATTTTGACAATTGATCGTAAAAGTTTTGTTGTTTGACAGTTAAAACTTTTACGATCGTTTAACAATTAGCGGCATCTGTTGAGTAAAAGAAGATACGGTATTGTAGAATTTTACTGCTATTACTATTTTTTATTTTTAAATTTAAAAATTACATAACAGCATGCATAGTTTAAGACGTTATGTTCGAATGATAATGATCAATGTGGGTTATTCTGAAAGCTATTATTCAGATTACATATAATAGAATTATTACATCTTGAAAATATAAAAATTATTATCATAAACACAAACCAAATCCTAAAATTACTTATGGCTACAATAGAGTTTTCAAAATTTTTATAATAAATAAAGCTTTTTAGGAGATAATATACCTTTTTGAAGGATAAATTGACATTTTGAACGAGTGTTAGTCGTTAGGTGCTTGTTACACATCCGATACGTACACGATTATACTTCTTATCTATTACAAATCTGAGCCTGATGATGTATCTATTACAAATCTGATGTGTAATCGAAGAGATAAAATCTGATGAAAAACATAAAACATATCTGATTGTCATTAGCTTTTCTGGCAGATTTTTAAAAATAACTGAATGGAAAATGAATTTTAAAAAAGTTTTGCCATGATCAGTTTATAAATTACAAATATTTAAAACATATCCGTCAAAAGTTGGACGTAAAAGTATAAATAGAAATAAATACTAATAGTGAGTAAATACTGATCAGATTTTATCATAAACTTCATAGATTTAGTCTGTGCCTGATGTGTAAGTGATCCTTATGTTTAGAAGAGTCTGCCAGAAAGTTGTAGAAATATTGAATGAGCAACGACAATACGTAAAGTTGATTAATTTTTTGACATTCCTGTGAAATTAATTTACTATATAAAGTGTTTTTGCGTGACTTCAACGATGTAATTCCGGTACCGAGATATGGTTAATTTACATAAATATTATATTTAAAATTGAATATAAGTTACTCGAACTTATATCTTAATAGTGTCCAAAATAAACATTTTGGTAAGTATAATAAATTAATATGTGTAGTATGTAGTAAAAATTTTATAAATGCATATTGTATAAATTGAACTATGTATTTTAAATCAGTTATCTGACACGGTGCAAAAAACAAAAAAAAATCTTTTTTGGAAATTTTGTAAAAAAAACATTAATTAAATCTTCCATAGATGTCAACATATTAGATTTCAAATGCATTGTAATGTGATCAGTCAAAAATAAAAATGACGCGGCGTTAATCTCTTATTAAGTTGCGCTAGCGTTGTTGTATGCGCAGTTGCATTCTGAAAAAAGAATCAAAGAATCGACATTACTGATTAAATAAATTGCAGAACAGGAATTACAGAAGTTAATACATATTTTTGAATTATTGAAATTATTCAACAAAATTGAACACGATGTCCTTAAATGCATTAATGAAGTACAAAAAGACATAAAAAATAAAAAAACATTTAAAATATAAAATTTTTCTAAATCAACACAGCTTTGTATTTTAAATTTGAAATTTGTTAATAATTTTCATTTTATAATTTTTTTTCTCATACAAAATTATACAAGAACTTTTTAAAATGAAAGTAAAATAATTATGTATGCAGACTAGTGACCTGGGATCTAGAGAATAGGACTATGCAATAACAGAACCATTGCTTTCTATAATTTAAATAGATTTTTCCAAATTGAAAAGAAATTAAGGATTTCAATACATATTACAATGTAAAATTTAATTCGTTAATATTGTGGAAAGAATTGTTCAATATATGAAAATGCCTATATATAATATGAAAATGCAAAAATCGCATCTGTTAACGAATACAGTTAATTTTCAAAAGGAAAATCTAATTTCAGCCCATTTGCAAAGGATAATTTTTTGTCTCATCAAACTGAAGGCATTCCAGTACACATTAGGTTCAATTGACAATTATATTTATTAAAAAGTGGAAGAAGAAAAGAATTTTCAAAAAAAATATAATTTCGTCATTCTCAATTGGAAATTTCTCATACTCAGGTATGTACATACATATGTACAATAAAATTTTTTAATTGAAAATCTTTCTTTACTTATAATTAAGAAGCGTTCTAAAATTTAAAGTTGAAATTAATTACTTTTATGAAAAGCCAATTATTCCTAGTATAAATTAGCTTACACAGTCACTCTTGGTATTACGTTTTGAAAACCAGTTGGAATAAGGGATATGTGTAAATTTAGATCTAAATGTAGCTTTATATCAGTTGTAGATACCTGTTAGGTAATTCCTCCTAGACAATATTAAAGTAAAATTTGTGTATGCAGCAAATATTGATTTTTACATTCTCAAACCCTCTGTCAAAATATAATTGAAACACCTTTTAATTCTAAATACTTTTTATACCCTGCAACTTCGTGAAGGGTATATATTCACTTTGGCGAATATTGAGCGGTATGGACATGTGCATATATGTATCTTGCTTAGCATTAAATTCTGGAAAGTAAAGACATGCCCGTCCGATGGCACGATAAGTTTAAAACGAATAAAGCAAATACCATCAACCTTTCACAAGTTGTTTTTTTATACTAAAGATGGACAAAGGGTTCGGATAAGTGTCATATAATTCAAAGAGGTTATTTTAATATTTTAAAAATTAATGAAGGTATCAATATAAAATTTTTCGGTTTGCACCGAGTGAAACGTTTTTACTTGCTTATATTCGGTTTTCTTTCTTTTGAAACATGTTTTTTTAAACCATGATTAAAAAATTTGGTTCGTTTTCTGCATTAACAACAGTAGGTAAACAAGAAATTTTTCAATTAGAAAAGTTTTATCCGAATTTTGTTTGATGTTAAATGTTTTATTAGAAATTCTCGACAGCACAAATATTCTATTAGAATTATTTGGCGATACGACAAAAGTTTCATTAAAACTTCTGAAATTAAAATTTTCCTTCTTGTTAATATTCATTTCGAGAATCACTTAAAATCACTATTTCTTTCTTGACTCTTAAGAATTAAAGCTGCCAATTAAATATCTCAAAGGATAGCTTTATCATAAATTTGATGAATAAATTAACGCTTACAAGACGAAAAAAATCATTTAAATTTTATTACAATTTTGTACAATTTTGAAAACATTAAAAGTAAAAGTGTCACCAGACAATATTGCTAATAAGTTTTTGAACCTTTTAAATAATTTTTTACATTCTTTTTAAAAAATTGGTGTATAGCTTTGCAGGCTGCTCAGTTAATGGATGATTGCTAAAAAAAATAAATGCTACAAAACTTTGAGACACAAAAATATTATTTTCTTATAGTTTTATAATTTTTTTTCAAGTCCATTTTTTTTATTTCTGCTAAATCTTACTCTTTAATAAATCAAATTCTTTACAATTTTTAAACTTAATTATTTTATTAAAAAAAAAACATTCAATTTAGATTATTTTCTTAAATTTTTTTTTACACTTAAGCTAAACATAATAATCGTTTCCACAATGGAGGTTTTGGTGGCAAGTGATTCGGTAGTAAAGCATCCCAAATGGCAGCATCGAAAACGTCTTTAATTTTATCCTAAAATAATTAAAAATAGAAAAATTAATAAGAGAAATATAATTAAATTTATTTTAGGTAATAAATTGTTAAAGGTACACTTATAGGCTGTAATTATGTGATAGCTTCTTTTGAAAACTTTGGCTAGAATTAAAATGTTTCTGAGCTGAATGAATGCTTTAAAGTTTAATTTCTTTTATATAATCTTAATATAAAATATCTAATGAAAAACTTTTTAAAATGATAAAATTTTCATAAAATTTTTAGAGAAATTAAGTTATTAATGAAAATCACCGACCAGTATAGGCTTAGACGATATCTAAGCCTATACAAAAAATTGGTTTTACGATTATTCAAAAGTTATTTAGTATTTAATCTCATTACATTTTCAAAAAATGCTTTATTTTAATATTATATTAAAAATTTAAGAAACTACATGATCTTTATCAAAATCTGTAGGTTCTCAATTTGTTTTTAATTTTATAACATTAATAAAAAAAACCTATAAAATAATTAAGTATTTGCTCTTATGCCACAGGATTGTCTACTCTAATATTTATTCTGACCACACTGTAAATAAATAAACCAAAAAATATTCTACTTATATCCTAAAAGCTTATATAAATAGACACATTTCAAATAATTATTGACAGACTAATATTATTATATGTGAAGTTTTATTAAAAAAAATATTAAATCCCAGTAGGTAATAACAAATAAAATGAAATAAATGAATATAGGGATTCCATATAACATGTTACGTACATATGTATGTAATTTTAGTGTATTATTCAATTATAGTATGTATACTAACCTGAGTTAAAGATGATGTTTCTATATACTTGGAACCAATTGAAGTAGCAAAATCACAAGCATCCGTAAATGAAATCGGTTTTTCTCCTTGAGTCTATTTTTGATTTTATTGTAGATTGCCATGAAAATAATAAATAAAGTAAGAAGGAAAAGAAAAAAAAATTAATATTTACTTTATATATGTATGCTTGTATGTTTGTAGAAATAGAGATTACATAAAAATGAAGTTTAATGGAAAAGTTTAAATAAAGTTATCAATTGGGAAAGAAATGTGAGTACAAATGTAAGGATATAAAATATAAGAAACTAGACATCCATTATCAGTTAAGTAGAAAAATATAAATCTTCTTAATTCTGAAAGCTTTCAAAGATTTTATATACTTTTTTTTTTATTTTTAATAAAAATTAAGTTTTAGATTTAATACATACTCGTAATATGTGTAAGGATTCATATTACATACGATTGTACATGAATACATTTGTACATGCATATATACCTGTAATTTATTTAAGACATGAATATCACTTCTTAAATCTGCTTGTGTTCCAACTAATATTAAAGCTGCTTTTGATTTTGAAAATTTTGGTGCCCATTTTATTTTTATTGAATTAAATGTATCCGGTTTAACAACAGAAAAACATAATAAAAAAACATCACTATCTGGATAACATAATTCCCTTAAAGGATCTAATGTATCTTGACCAGCTGTATCACATAGACAAACATCAACGGGATTATCATTGACCATAACTTCAGCTAAAAAAAAAAAAATAAATGAATCATACATTAGATACATACATATAAGTTTATTAGCAATTTTGTTTTCTTAAATTTTTGTTGTAAATTCATAATATACATAATATTATTTAGTTTATAATAATATAAAATGTAATTATCAATTCGATACAACATATTAAGTAGATAATTTTAGAAAATATTTAAAATTAAATGGAATAGAAATTAAGAACAAAGGACATATTTCTGTAATTGTGAGTTGTTAGCTGACTTTGTTTAGCTTTAAAGTTCTAAACGTAAGAAAACTCATTTACGAAATTAAGATTTATTTATTTATGAAAGTTGCCTTCTAAATGAACCAGTTCATTTCGTTAGTTCCAAATATTAATATTTGAATTGATTTATATTCATAGATTTATATTTAAGAGCGAACACATGCAAATGTACGGTCGCATGCAATTAAGCAATCAAACAGTTTGTTCATCAATTTTTTACAAACTGATTGCAATTTTTATTTTAAGCATTCGATTTGAATTGACACAATAATTTAGTTGGTTAGATGTACGATAAAATTAAAAATTTCATGTCTATTTGAGCCCTTAAGTGATAAAATTCCATTTAAATTGGGGGTAGTAACTATGAGTCTGTGAACCACTCATATTCAAAATTAATATGCGTGTAATTGAGCCACATTGAAACAACCTAATTAAGTAATATTTTATATATTTATAATTTTACAGAATCTGTGTAAGATAGAGGTGTACATAGCTATTTCGCCCATTATTATTATTTTTAAAATAATTTCATATAATTTAAGTCTGGAGAAAACAAAATTTCCGACCTTAAAATTTTAGAAAGATTTAAGCAACCTTAATAATTCGCAAATAAATGCGGACGATAAATAGAAAACGATAAAATGCGGACATTTAAATAGATTTTTCAATGTCAGTAGAAGTTTAGATGCTGAAATTTTGCATATTTCTATAAACAGAATAAAAAAAATCATGTTGTTGGCATCGCAAATAATTTTACAAAATATTTTGTATGCACAATTCTTATTTAATTTTAATTTTGTACTTTTTCTGACCGTAAATATTATTTTTTTTTTAGCACTTTGTTTTTCTTTTGTTCCAAATCACAAGAGCTTGAAGTTTATTTAAAATTTTAAGTCTATTAATGTTTCATTTAATTTTTCTAAAAAAGAATTGTAGGTACATACTAACAAATGAAACTAAAATACCAACATAAATATCATATTATTCTATTTTCTATATCCGTGGGTATACCATACAAAGAAAAGTTTTAAATTACAAAGCAAAAACTCTTTTGTTCTATATAAATTATTTTCAAGAACATAGAATTTTTAGATATAAAATATAAAATATAGAAACAAAAGGTAAAAAATCTTATTCTAACCTTGGAAATTATTTGTTCTTCTACTATAATATTGTATCTTATTTCCACCTAAGTGTATTCTATTATTCCATATTTTTAATGTGACCATTAATATCATTTAAAAACGAATCCTTGCTTAATTTAAAAGTAGTTAAATTTTAACATTTTAATTAAATATGTGTAAATTTACATTGTAATAGAAATTTACAATGTTTTTTATTAATGTATGGACTTGTAATTTAACATACGAATAATATTGTAACACGAAAACTATAATTGAAAGGAAAAAATAAAAAATAAATATAAATACAAACAAAATTATGATGATATAGGGTTACAATATAATAGTCACTTAAAAGTTGTTGTGAAAATAAGAAATCAAAAGTATATTGTGGGTTTGTTTAAGAATTTAAGAATGAACTATTCAATTTATCTTCAAAATAAAACTAAAATTTAGCTACATCTCTTGAAAAGGTTTTTTTTTTTGAATTCCAATTAGCAATTTATTCATCTAATAAGAGAAAATGGTTGAGAAAAATACAATGTAGATAAAAATATTTCTTTTTCAATGCTCCTTCAGTAATTTTAATTAGAATACAATTTTGAAACAAAGAATGAAATTAATTGCACAGCAATTCAAGAATATTGTGTACATTTTAAAATTTTAATATTGTATTCAAATGAAAATAAGAAGTAAGAAGATTAAAATGTAAAAAATTTGATAAATCGGATAATACAATCTAATTTCCAAAACTCAAACATTTTACAAGTCAAAAATGAATTTAGCACAGAAAATAGTTTAAATAAAATGAATGAAATTCTATTTATTAACAAGAGAGAATTTTCGATAATTGGACTTGCACTTAAAATTCCAACTTAAATATTAAAAAATTTTTTAAACCTCTATACTGTAATTTCTGAAGTTTTTTAAAATAATTCTTAAACCATTTTGGGATTCAAAATTATTCGCCTGCAAATCTTAGTGGTATAAGTTATATTCAATATTAATATTTTTAATCAAATCAATTTAATATGATGTGCATTTCTAAATTGTTGAAAATATTTAGTCAATTCTATGTGGACAAATATAACAGATCGCATTTTGCATTTCTTAAATGATATTTTCCACAAATACTCATTTACCTAATTTATTGTTGTTATTCCTGAGTATTTCAATTCAACAAATATTACAAGTTTTTTTGAGATTAGATGTAAAAATTTACAAAATTAAGGAAAATTAATAAAACAAAAATTAAAAAGTGTTAATAGAAAATGAAAAAGTGTTAATAGAATTAAAAAATTTCTATTACTCGTAACACTCAATATGTGAGATAAATAAAATTTGTTAAATCCACTAATATTGGAGCAATGTTTGTATATTCTATATATGTATATTTACATACATCTGAAAAAAAATTAAAATTATGAAATTTTGAAATTTCAAGGAAGAGCATACCATAAATTATAGGATTAAATTTTATTCTTGTAATAACTAAAACTCCATTTTTACAGATTCGTGAGTTTGGCATTGTAGGGACGAATACCTGCCTTTATTTTGGTACGCAATACTAAACTATAACAAAATTATTGGATTTGAGAGAAATAATTTTTTATTTATCCATATATTTAAATGTAATGTTTAAATGTTAATGTAAAGGTTTATTTATGTAAGTGTATTTACTTAAGTAAATACGCATAAAAAAAAATAAGGAATATTTCCATAATTTGTTTTTCATACATCATTAAGTCTCTTAAAATATTAGACCTTCTTCTCAATAAAAAAAAAAATTGAATATTTTGAATATAAAATTTTATTTTCTTCATATTATATTCAAAAACCATAAAAAAGGTAAACCTGTTCGAGTTGGTAAATTTTTTCAAGTGTTTATTTTTTTATTATATAAGCAGAAAAGACACAAAATTTTTGGAAAAATTGAGTTTTTCCAGAAAATATATAATATATATTACGGTAAAAGAATTTTTTGAAGTGAAATTTTCAAAATATTTTTCCTAGTAATTTCTTTTTTAATAAATATTACGGGTTTTCTTAAAATATTATAAATTTATTGATATAAAAATAGAAAAAATATTTAAAATTATTTACAAAAATACCAAATGTTTAATACTTATACTTAAATATTATATAAAGTTATTTGGACGGTTTTTCGCACATTTTGAAATTTATATAGTAGACAAGCTATTGATATGTGTAGGGTGATTCCATACAGTATTATCGTTGTTCTTTTGAACAAATGAATTACTTTACTAAAATAATATTTATAAATATTTTAATAATTAGTTTTCAGAGAATGAACATAAAACTAAATATTTTAAATACTTTAAATTAAATTTATTAATTTTCTTTTGTATTTTAGGTTGAGAATGCGAATACATTTGCGGCTCATATGTTGAGAATATATCGTATCACTTAAGAGCATATAGAACACTTTACACATTACATATACATTTGAAGGTTTAAGATAAGGTTGCAATTAAAGGTTAAAGATACAAACTTGAATTATTTACTCGTATTTAGATATTTAAAATTAGACTAGCAATTTGATACTAAAAATTATCAATGTTAAATCAGTGTTAGTTAACAAAAATTAAATTTATTTGAATATTTCCTCCATTATTAGATTTTCTACAAATTGCTTGTATTTCCGTTCTTTATTCCTTCTTAAGACTTTTCATCCAAAATTTAAAAAATATTTGAGTGTAAACTGATTCATATCTAAAAATGGAATATTCGATTAATATTTTTTTTTTATAAAAATTAAATTTTTTAATCAATTATTTTCTATTTATATCCAACATATGAAATTTCAATAACAAAATTTTCTACATTTGACCAAATCTCCTAAACAATTTATCTTAATACATAATATAATTTTGAAAATAATTTCTGTTATCAAGAAAATTACATTTTAATTTAATTTGCTATTTGCACAGCTGATTGCAATTCGATACGCCATAGTATTACAATTTATAACAATCTATAATTGCATCAATGATAAATGTTTATGCAAAATATAAATTATGGGGTGTTATATATTTTATTTTTTTCATTCTACCCATAACCACCGGTTTAAACTCAAAGAACCATTAAAATTTTGTGCTATACAATCGATAGTGCATTATGCATCACTTATTGAAATCCATATTCTCAAATAAAATCCTTATTTTTCTCTTCTTCAACCATATTTTTTTCGTAAAAGTTTTCTTTTCGTACAAGGATGCAAAATGTAATATTAAATAATGATTACAGAAAATAACCTTTTTTTAGTGCTATAGATATAAACGCTATAAAAATTTTGTAAATTGATGATAGAGAGCTCGTATTACTTTTAAAGTCCTTTGGGTTGTATAAACTTATTCATACAAAAACAACAAGAAAGCACTTAGTAGGTAATGTTGTTATTGAATCCTTAATTTCATTTGTAGTTATGCATATTTCTGGTTTCATTGTTTCTGTGTTTATCTGATAATGTATCAGTCTAAACGGGAGATATAAACAAAAAAGCGTTCATGGAAATTGAAAAAAAAAAAAAAAATATTTCGAAAAATGTTCCAATTATTCACCTGAAATACATAATATATAGAATTTAAAAATTTTTATTTTAAGT